AGCTGCATTTGGGGGTGGGCAGAGAGGGGCGTTCCCAGGTCAGGCAGCTGGGCAGATGAGGGCAGCAGCATCTTGGGTGACGCTGTCAGGATGTCTTCAGGGTGGAGGCAGCCCTGCAAAACACCGGCGTCGGAAGTGTGATCTCGTGCCCCCCCGCACCGAGAGCCACCAGGCACACATGGGCTGCAGCACAGAGCAGTCCCCCAAAATGGCCACGAAAGAAGCCGCTGCATTCAAAGCAAACACACGCTTTGCTGTGGGTGCTGAAAAACTTTGAAGACAGTATGTTCTTAGTTTTGACAAGAGCCCAAATACTTTTGTAGAAAATTCCTGAAAAGGCTGGCGCTTCCCATAGGAATTTCCACTGTATTAAAAAGGGGGTTGGTTTTTTTTTTTTTTGGTGGGAAAAAATCCCTATCAGCTCTGCCCCAGACACTTTCTGTGTGGCTGCACATAGCTGAGCGTCGGCACGGCGCTCATCAGGAGCGCCCCGGGCCCCGAGCCAAAGGGCAGCCCTGCGGCGGCGGATGGCTTTGATCCAGGAGCCGGGGAATGCTGCACAATCCCTCATGATCCCCGGGCCCCCGGGATGCGCATCAGAGCTGCAGGGCCGGGGCCATGCCGTGCCCTGAGCACAGAGGGCAGGGACCCACGCACCTTGGCATCGGCATAGGCACTCGCCTCCTTGCCCACGGCGTCGAGGTCGGTCACGCCGCGGGTGAGGCGGCAGGCTGCAGGAGCGGTGTCAGAGCAGAGCACAGCCCGCTTGGAGCGGGAGCTTGCTACGATGCACCCGTGGTACGGCAAGTGATGCCCAGTGTCCCTCACTGCCCCATGCCACCCACCCTCCAGTTCCAGGGGGGAAGGAGGTGCAGAGCAGCATAGCTGCACTTCCTGCTGCTGCCTGGGACAGGGCTTGTGCCCGAAAACACACCCAGCCCTAGCACACCAAACCTGGGGAAGAGCAGCTAAAACCCCTGGTGTGGGAGAAATGGGCCACTGAGAGCAGAAGACACGGAGAAAACTAAAGAAAGGTAAACAAGAGATTATGGGGAAAAAAAAAACCCGGATGCCCAGAACTCCCCGGGGAACTGCGTATCATGGCCGGGACATTGTGCAGAGGAAAAACAAACAATGGCCGGTCCAGGACAGGCCGTGGTTAGGTCATCGCAACAGCGCTGGTTGCAGAGGCAGGCAGGAAGCCACAGCACAGCCCAGGCTGCTCCCGATGGGATAGGGGGGATCTAGCACTGGGCTGCAGGGCAGGCAGCCCGCACATGGATGGGCAGCAGCATCCTGACGGGGACTGGAGGCATTTGACCAACCTCTTGCAAAATGCCTGTCTCCCCTCCAGTGCAGCTGCCAGCACCAAGGAGCACAGCAGCTCCCTGAGGCCCCATGGAGCCCAGGGTGGTGGGGTGGACCAGCAGCCCCTGGCCAGGAGCATCCCTGCACCCTCTGCCCACAGGGCTAAGAAGCATGGTGGAGTCCGCAGGCTGCTTGCAGCCCTGGGAGCTTGATGCAGGATCCCGAGCACGGCTTCACACTCGCAGGGAATTGTGGAGGTGGTGTTGGACCGTGAGCTGGGTCCATGGCAGAGAGCTGGACCCAGCCCCACAAGAGCCCTGGGATGTGGGGAAGGTCTGTGCTTAGGGCCTCTTCTGTGGAAGCAGTGAGGAAATGTTTGCGGCGTGTGCAGCCGAGCACAGAGAGCATTTAGGCACCCAGCAGAGTCCCGGGCACTGCTAATGGGCTCCCAGCAAGGGGGATGTCTGTGAGGATGATGGCTAACACCTAGCGAAGGCTCCTTGCTGGGCAAGATCCCAGCTTGAGCCCGAGGCGCCGCAGGCCAGATTGCTGTGCAAATCCGTTCTCCGCAGGTGTCAGCCAGCAAGAAGCAGTGTGGGAAGATGGTGACTCTGCAGACCACGTCTGCCAGGCTCCAGGACAGACACCCATGCCATCCCTGCCTCCACCCTCACAGTGTACCTGGAACATCCAGGTCGTCCCCATTCCTCTCGCTGTCCCCGTCCTCCTGTCCGTCCGCGTTCTGCTGGGTGTGCTGCAGGCTCAGCTTGTGGCAAACCTCAAACGCCTGCCCCACGGTCCGGACGATCCGCATGGCTTGGCTCTGCAGTGGGGGAGGAGAGGAGGAGCGTAACCCCAGCTGCCCCTGCCCAGTGCCCCCCCCCAGCCTGGCACAGCTTTTGGGGGTCTCTGTGTGCTGCCGCAGGGACTGAGCGCAGCCGCAGGCACCAGAGCTCAGACCACCGCAGCGCTCTGGGCTGCCTGCTGCAGTGCAGGGCCACAGGGTCCTGCCCCAGCTGAAACCCCAGTGAGACCCCCGGTCAGCGGGATTAGCCTCACAACACCTTTACCTTCTTTTTGGATTTGAAGACGTTGCACCTGAAGACATTGCTAGACCCATCCCTAGCAATGTAGCTGAAGATCTTTAGGTCCTGGGAGTCATGCGACACATAGAATATCCTGCAAGGACAGGAAGGAGGGGAGGATATCAACATACACATTACCCACGTGCCCAGGAGACTGCCAAGGCCACAGCAGTGCTTCCCAGGGCATGGGGTGCTGGCAGATGCCCAGCCTCTGCAGCACATCCCTGCTAAAGCCCATCAGAAATTTTTCTGGCAGTGGTTTTGCCTCAGCTGGGAAAATTAGCCTGCTGACTCAGCAGCAGCAAGCATTTTGCGAAGGCAGCACGGGGCTTTCTCTGCTCAGCCCCCAGGGACAGACCCAGAGGCCCAGGACCCCTCCAGAGACCAAGGAGAGCAAACCTCGCTCCTCTGCCTTGCCTGTTCGGAGAGCTGGCCTCCTCGCCCGGGCACCTGCCCCAGCCAGCACGACGCCCCCTCCCCGGCACGGCTGGGGCCCTTCCTCGCTCCCGTTCAGCTTCCCCAGGACACAGACGCCCCACGCTCTTAGCTTTTGCCAGCGAGATGGGGGAAAAGAGCTGGGGACTTTTGGAGACCACAGCAAGTGAGGGGAGCTGCCCTCCATGGCGAAGGCGGCGTCTCTCCATGGTCAGTCCCCAGCCCGGTGCCAGCGTGGTGTGGGGTAAACGGCATGGCAGAGCCACGCAAGGCTCCGTCCCATCAGCAGGCAGGCTTACCTGTAGATGGGATCGTGCATGACGAGCATTTTGTTCTCGTCCCAGGCCCATTCTTTTTTCTGCAACAAAAGAAGCTGAAAATAAGTACGTCAGATGCTGCCCTTGAGATCAAGAACAGGGCAGACGCAGTCCAGGGGCAGACCCGGGAAGCGCTTGTCGAATCTCTGCTGCTGCTCCACTGCAAACCTTTGCCAAGGGCCAGATCCTGCTGGGGCTGGCGTTGTCCCACACCACCTCCCACAAGTCACCCTGAGCCCCTTCTACGCCCATGTCAGGACTGGCTCTGCCATCCTGCAGGAACACAGCTCATCCATGGCTCATCCCCAGCCCATCCCTCCCTCTCCCAGACCACCAGAGTCTCCCAGAAATTCAAGGACCCTGCAGGTCCCTGCACCACAAGGGGAGGGCTCTCGGTGCTGAGGCACCGCTGCTGCAGGGACTGGGGCTGCCTACCTTCTTCTTCTTCTTCAGAATAACCTTCACACCATCCACTGACACGATGAGACTCACTTTCTTCTTCTTGATGTTCTTGGCTTTAAACTCATACTGCAGGGGACAGAAGAACACACCTGAATTAGCTTTCCTGTGCCAGGAAAATCCAGGGAGGGCTGAAGAGGCTCCAACAGGATGGGGCGAGAGGGGCAAGGAAAGATTTCCCCAACCCCACATGCCTCCCCAAACACAAGCAGATGCCCACATCAGCCTGTGCACCCATGCTAGGACAGGACAGGGGGCCTTTTTGCCCTGCAGTGTCCTCCTGCTCAGCATTCAGAGGAGCACACTCCAAAGCAATCCGGCCCCTGGATGGGGATAACCCTCTGCTCAGCCCAGGATGCTGCTGGGAACATTAACTTGTGTTTCTAAAGGCACCCACTCTGCCCATCTCCAAAGGGCCATGCCTCCCCGGAGAGGGACCGCTGGCCACCTTCCCAGCCCAGGGGGCTCCGGAGCCTGGCCGGGTTTGCCCGCTGCCTTGTGGCCACTGCTGAGCTCTGGTAAGAGAAACCTCATTTTGAGTGGGGTTTTTCAGGGGCTCGGTATAAAACTGAACGTGATTGCTGAGGACTCCGTGAACCTCTCCAGGGGAGATGGGATAATGCAACTACCCACTTTGATTAGAAGTCACTGGACAGGAAAAAAACCCAACAGGAACTTCCAAAGATCAGTGACTAAACACAAAGCTCTGGCCCAGCCCCAGGAAGAGAACGAGATTCCCAAAATCCAGCCGCTTGTGCATGTAGAGTCTTGCAAGCGGGGAGGGGGCCAGCAGGGGAGCAGGCCAGATAAGCCATTTAGGCTGAGCAACCTCCTGATGTGGGAATTTTGGGGAGTCCCATAACTGGTCTACCAAGGGTGCACCCACATCAGGTACCCAGTGTGCTGGTCCCACACGCAGGGTGCTGTGCAGAGCCAAGGGGACAGACCCTTTGAGCCCGCCCAGCAGCAGCAAAGCCCTGCATCCTACACCTCCCACGCCTGAGGAAGAGGAATTTAATTAATCCCCTCATTATTTCGCCAGTCTCTCTGCAGAGGGAGCACAGGGCAGGCGCCCCAATGCAAAGCCCTGCCTCTGGTCCACGCCGAGCCTCTGTGTGACATTTCCAGCACTGCATGATGTATTAACTTTGGCAGCCAGAGCCAGCAGGCAGGAAAAGCTGCTGGCCCCGACCTGTGATCAAATGATAAAAGACCTGAAAATACAATTCCTCAAAGCCATTTTAAAGTTGCCGATGAGGATGGGAGATACAGATGACTCAGAAAACAGTGGGGGGAACGCAGCTCTGCCCTCCCCAGCACACAGACCAGGCAAGCTGTGCGAGCCCACCCGCTCTGGGGCTGAAGCCATGCTGATGGGCTGGAGAAAGCAGAGCTCAGGCTCCCACCGTGGCTACAGCCAGCCTCGAAATTCCCAGCACACACCCACAGGCTGCTTGCAGGGCTTATTCCTCATGGAGAAGGGTCTCACCACAGTCCCTCACCAAAGAGCCCACCGGGGTGGGTTTCCAAGTCCCACCTCTCACATTCCCCTTCCCTGTCGTTACAAGCAGAGGTAAAACTGCATCCAAAAGCCCTTTCTCTGTGCCTTCCTCAGACACCAGACCAGTACTGAGATCACAGCAGTGTGTCTGGCATCTAACACTAAATAAATGTCTTGATTTAGCCCTGAAAAGGTAAGCTCCAGCCCGGCTACCTCGGAGTAATTAACACAGCACCTTCTGAAGCTCCACATGCCATTTTTCCAGGAGCCACGGGCTGAGCTGGATGCTCTCTGCAGCACCCAGAGTGACCGCGTGGCACCTTGTGGAGCTGCAGCCTGATTTATTGGTCCTAACGATCATTGATTATAAACATCAAGTTGCATTTCCAAGCTGCTGGAGCAGTGGGGTTTCTATTCTGGGCCATCCCAAGTGCTAATTAGCATGGGCTTGGAAGAGACAGCAACCCTGAAAAATATCTCAGGGTCAGAGCGACTATTTTTAGCCTAGTTTTTGTGTGAGTAACAGCCCCAGGACAGCAATGCAGACAGGCCAGGACGTTTCAGCAATGATGCTACCCAACCCAGGCATACGTTTCAGGGACAGAATCAGTGCAGAGCTCCTTGGAGAGGCTTCTGCAATCCCTGGCTGCAGGCAAGGGATTCTGCCTGGGCTCGCCCCAAGCCCGGCAGAGCGGAGTGCCACGGGGAAAGCTGGTTTGCCTCTGCCACGCTGAAGCCAAAGTCCCCTTGTGCTGACGGCTCACGGCAAAGCTGCAGCAAGAACCGATGGGAGCGAAGAAGCTGAATTCTCAGAAGGACCAACCGGCCAGACTTGTTAAGCCCTTGCATAAATCCAGGCCTTTATCCCGACACCGAGGCGAGAGCCAAGCTCCTTTGCAAGTCCGAGCCATGTGCTTAGAAAGCTATTGCGCATCCTGCCCCAACCAGAGCTCGTTAGTGCAATCACTCCAACGAGTGCAGATGCTCTTTGGGATACATTTCCCATGCAACGAAGCGCAGCTCTAACCAATAAAATGCTAATGAACTCATGCCCACTGGGGCCCTAATGAAACACTAACTGTAATTTAATAACAAATTAGCGAGGAAGAGGATTCAGAGAAATGGCAGTTCGGCCAAGCTGCCTCTTGTATCCCTGGGCTGCGCAGGGCAGGCACGCCAAGTCCCACAGGCCAGGAGATGCATTGCTGATTTTTGCAAACTTTCAAGTTTGAGTTTGGGCAAATAGGTGCTAGAAGGGAGGAAAAGCACCCAGGAGAGAAGGGCAGCAGATCACACCGAGAGGGAGCACCTGCAGAGCCCAGCGCACCGCTGTGTGCTGCTGCCCCCCTGCTTACAGCCACAGCGTGCAATTTGCTCTGTGTTGTTCATGGGGCTAATTCAGCAAACGAGAGGGATTTCATCCCAAGCAGTAGCTCTGGCTAAGGTCAAAGGAAGCATTAGGCTTGTGCAGTTCCTCTAAGTGAGATCTGAGCCACAGTGACCGTCAGGGATGAACCCCAAACTGTTCACATTAGCAGTGACATTAGCTGCCACAACCAGCCCTGCTCAGTGCCCTGCCAGGCCGGGATGCTGCTCGCTGGCTATGGCAGGAGAAAGGCCCGTCTCACCCCAAGCCCTCGCACACCCCAGCAAGCCCCTGCAGCTCCCGGGAAGGCAGCGGCTGATGGTCGCAGTCAGTCCGAGGCACCAGGTGAGACACCAGCCCAGAAGCAGTACTCAGGGCTGGGCTAGGTGCCCTGCATCCACCACGGCTCCCCCCAGCACAGGAGGGGTAGCTGGCCCTGTGCTACCTCCTTGGACTTCTCCAAAGCAATGGCAAGTCCTTTCCATTAGCAGACTACAGATACCGGTATGGGCTTTTTGTCCCTGAAGACTGCTGGACATCTCAGATGGTCTCACTGACGTGCTGCACGTCAAGAGGACCTGCCCTTGCTAACACCTGCCCTGAAAGCCCATATTCTAATGGGGCAATGGGAAACCTCTCTCTGTATGATTGATCAGCACCTCTCTGGCTTGGAATTATTCTTGGCCATAGCTCTGTCTGGGTGCAGAGATCTGCCGGGTCTGCCCACGTTTGCCAACAACCCTCCTTCTGCTGTGAAACAGAGAGAGAAAGCTTAGGAGGGATGCAAAACATCAGGGTTTTAGCTTTCCCTGTTGCTGGGAGGAGAGCAGACGTGATGGCAGGGTTGGAAAAGCCACTGAAGGGACTCCGAGACAGCCACATCCAAAACCAGCAGGCACCAGCTGACCCAGAGGAGAAGAAAACCCGCACGCTTCCAGGGAGGCTGGACCAATGCCACGCAACCCTTGCTGGGAATATACCCTGCATCCCCAAAGGATATCACACCATCACTACTAACAACCTTCTCACCGAGCCAATACAAAACCACACATGTGGCCAAAGAAAAGCGGGGTTTTCTTAATGGCGCCGGCGTGGGACCTGCTCTGCTGCCGGGAGGGGATAGGGAGGCTCAGGAGGAGCTTTGCTACGCATTGCAACAGGAGCAACAGGGGCGCCTCTGCAACTGGGTGACAGCAATTCCCCCCGTGCCCCCTGGATGCGGAATTCTGATTTTAGGTGACTCTGTCCCCTTTGGTTTCACACCGCGTAGTGTTTCACTGTATTACTTATAACTAACTACATGGTCAGAAAGGCTTTCTTGACTTTCAGCCCAGGTAGTCTGCCCATAGCAGGCACAATTCTGGATTTTGAAATATCTGTATCAATACTACAAGTTTGGGTTAATTATATTAATTCTTGGCTATAGCAACAAGGCAATCCCAGAAGATCTACAACTTCAGGGAAAGGCACAGAAAATGGAAAGAGCAACAGAGAAACCCTTCTGATCCCAGACTCACACAGCTCCACAGTTGGTCTCCGACTGAAGCTCTAAGTACTCCACTAGAATTTTTAAGCAAAGATTGAATATGGACATCTGAGTTATGCCAAAGTTAAAAAAAGAAATTATTCAAGAAAAAAAGTAAAGGTGGTCTCCGTAACGAAAAAGAAGTATTAGAGCACTTGTAAACTCCAACCAGCTAAAAAGTGAATAAACATTAGCCCTTAATTTTATGCTGCCCCACAAAAAAAAGGGTTCATCTTCTCAATTAGAAAAAAAAATAAATCTATTTTGTCACAAGAGCCATTGACCTCAGGTTAGTGGGAGTCTCTTTTCAACATCTGTCTTTTATGCGGAGTTCACTATTTAAATAACTTCAAATGGAAAATAATGCCAGCTGGTGTATGCATCGTTGCGCAACACATTCCTCCTGGCAGAGTATTAAAATTGCCCTTCCCGGAGAACAGCGTAACATATGCTGCTTAATAGAGAGTGCATGTAACCTTGTCAGCTTAGAGTAAAATTATGCACGAATCTGAGTGCGACGGGTATGTGTGAAAAGCATGGGAAACTCAGCGTCCTTAGAAACATGTTACCCATCCCTGTCCCACTGTTTCCACACGGTAAAAAGTGTAAGAAAACTTGTAACCACGCACTGCGTGCTAGGTTAGGCAGATTGGGGAGATGATGTCTTTCCACATTCA